TTTCGGGGCAGCAATTTTCATCCATTATGACTAATAGTTTGGAAAATATTATCAGTTCTGACACTGGGAGGATACCAGATTGGAGGTAAAAGGGCTAATTGCCTCCTCTGATTGTGCCGCATTACTACGCCTCAGCTGAAGGACACTTCAGACAGGCTCTGGTATCGGCTTTTGAATGGCAAAGTGAAGGCAGAATTTGTATAGAATAGATTAATCTCATGAGTACATAGATTTATTTCAATCAGTCAGGCGAACATGTCTATTCCACCCTTTCCTTATTTTAGTCGCATCTATTGGTTGAATGATTAGACATTTAGTTTATAATATTTACTGCATTCTCTTGATGCTGATGACATTGATTTCTGTGAATATCATTTTTTACATTATGTTTGAATGGCGTTCACAGATATCTTAAAGTAACGAAAGTACATGACTTCTCATATGGCGCTGAGCGGTTTTTGAGGTCTCTGGCCCGAAAGTTGGATCTAGCACACATCAGATTACGGGGAATAATTTTCAAACAAGCGATCTGTTTGTCAATTGATTGTTTTGAAAACTATATATTTGCTTGTCAAGCTAATTTACCAGGTCTAAGAGGAGGATGAGAAGGGGGAAGGGCCTAGCAGGTACAGCTAGATTGGGGATTTAGAGGCAGCGAAATCCACCTGTGGGATTTTGCATTGTAAAATTTAGTTGACTCACATATAGTTTGCTAAGTAATTGACGAGCAAGGTTCAATTAGCAGATTGGTGGATTAAAGATACTTGTCATTTGCTCAAGTGGTGACTCAGTAGGTGTGAGAGGACTCCTACTTCTCCTTAATAGTTAGACAATTTACAGTCGAATTACACATAGATATTCAGCTTATATTATTATCAAAGTAACGTGTTGATACAGAACACAAATTTAATCTAAAGTTCAAGTATATACACTGACAAATATAATGCAACACTTGTTTTTGACTCCATTTTCAGGAGTAGACACTCTAACATATTATCTATATAAACCAATGGGGTCCTGGGGGTAATCGAAAACAGTTCAGTGATAATCTGGTGTGACACACATTTGCTCTCTCTTCCGCAGTGCACACATCTCCTTCGCATAGAGTTATCCTAGATTGATTGATTTGTGGGCCATGGTGGTAAATGTTTGGTCGATCTCGTCTTCAATGTGGCATGTGCAATTAGTTGCTGATGGTAATTTGATAGTGAACTGGAACTACGAAGTAATAGCGGCTCTGTCCGTATACGGCCGAATCCAGACATCCCAAGATTTTTAGATTAACTGCCAATGCGGTTGACATTGTTAGGTTATGGGTTTAACCCTAATGGGTTTTCGGTACCCCGCTCAGACCTCTCCCGATAAAGCAAACCGCACGTTTCAGGGTGCCACTTTTATTTGCTGGCAGCTAAGGCACACCTGTGCAATAATCATCTGCTCTAATCAGCATCTTGATATGCCACACCTGTGGAGTGGGATGGATATTGGCAAAGGAGAGTGCTACACTTCACAATAGATTTTTTCAGAATTTGGGAACAATGCTCTGAGAGAATGCGTTATTTTGTGTATTATCTTGAAATATGTTGTTAGATCTTTGAGTTCATACTCATGATAATGTGGAGCAAAAACAAAAGTGTTCATTTATATTTTTGTTAGGTATATTGATAAGTAATGAAGGATGTATTTACAGTGGTGGCAAAGTAAATACAGTACATTTACTCAAGTGGTGACTCAGAGGTGGAAGAGGCTAGCTCAGAAATAAAGCAACTTCTAAAACTACCAGGAGTTTAAGCATTATAAGGCCCGTCCACACAGCAGCGTGCATTGCTTAACAGAGATGTCTCCATTCACTTTAATGGGGTGGGACGTCAAGCTTTGCCAAACTGCATTGTGGTTGCCCCGTTCGCGTTGTCTCTTGCCTCCGTTGCTTTGCCTCCGTTGCTTTGCCTCCGTTGCTTTTGCCCCGTTGGCTTTGCCATCCATTGCTCGTTCGAAGTTGAGAAAAGTTCAACTTTCAAAGCGTCGACGGAAGCTTCCAGCAATCAATTTTTTTGAAATCATATGCCTTGGACAAAAGCGCTAGCCAATCAAGTACAGGCGTTGCTGTGTGTCTTGGGGCGTGGAGATTCGCATGGTGACTTGTTGGCTATTGTTTGGTTGCGCGCCCAGACACGCCCACACGGCAAGCTCACGCACGCTGCCCGTGTGGACGTACCGTAAAGGATCGATCGCAAAGAAACACAACCTTTTGCTTACCCTATCTCACAATGATTATTCTGGATAGACCTTCACTGTGGGACAATTACATTATACATACAGACCGATAATTTTTTTTCATCCTTTACTGTAAGTACGATTTGAAATGCTGGACTTTTGCTTGTGACAGAGAAGTTTTACTATGTAGTCATCAAAACATACTTTGATTTACCAAAAGTAGCTTTTGTGCTTAATGGGCCGATTTTAGAACATATATATAAATGACTCCATCACAGCTTGTAAAAGTCGACGAAATCATTTTATACTAACTAAGCTTCCTCATATAACTCCTGCTGGATAAATTAAACATATTTAATGGTCCAAGTTTTTGTATTTTCAGATTATTATTTTGATATTAGTCTTAGAATATCCTGGAAACTTGTTAGAGGTAAATATAAGGCTTTTCAAATAAAATGTTTGAATTGAATATGGCTTCTAAAAATGGTGGAGTTGTATATGAAATAGCATTATAAAAATTGTTTTTGAAAATTCTTCAGGTTGGAATACAGTACATACTTACAGTAAATGTGTTATCCTTCCTCCCCACCTGACTGCACTTATGAATTCATATCTTGTACCTTGCTATATCCTGAGTTTTTTCTTTCCTCATGCCACTTTATACTTCAATCTCCATTTATTCATGGGGTACCTTGTTGGAGATTTGAGGAATGTTAAAACCAACCTCGTCTCCCCGTGTCGTTTGGTAAGCTGGGTAAGATTCGTAAAAGGAAGGGATTAAGAAACAACCAGAATGCAAGTTAACAATAATCCTTGTTTTAATGACACAAAGTAACAATACAAATACAAAGGAAGTAAACTTCTGCTCTTCCTCTCAATCTTATCGGATCTGGTCAGTTTGAAGAAAAAGAACGAAGACTGGTCTAAAAAATACACAGGCTTATCCAAAAACCCCCAGGAGGGGTCCTCCATTTAGCCGCGAGCTGGGTCCAGCCAATCAGCGCGAGACCAGAGGCGACCTTAATTTCGACGATATATCAAACCCTCCTTGCAAGTTTCACATACTTTTGGCATTTTATTAAGATAGGGTTTAAGATTATAGTTCTTTTATAGTTGGGATTATCAAATAACACATGTGATGTTTACCTTAACGTCAAACAATAATCAACAAGAGTGAAAAACATCAGCTCTGATCTCTAAGCAGTAAAAAAGTACCGCACACTCATTTATCCTGCAGCTCTTTCTCCAGACACTTGAGCTATTGTTCTTTAATGAATATTCCCTGCGAATCTTTTATTTCAAATAAAAAGGTTTCAATTGCATATTTCTAGCTTCCTTTACACATACTGTTATTATTAATACAAGCAACCAACCACACACATCTATTTAAAACAAGTAGATTTCCACCTGATCATTTGACATGCTGAACAATCTTAATGAAGAGTGTCCCCTCCCCAGCTCTCTCCGTCCCTAATCATAAAAAGCTGCTTCCATTTCCTATCAGTTAATACAAACATGTTTAAGCTAATTCTCCTGCAATGTTTGTAGTCATCTAGTCCACACATGGAAAGAATAAAAACAGAGGAATCAAAAAAAACCCAATAACAGGAACTAGTTGTAAATGATTATATACAGGACTAGTGATCACAGTAAGGAAACACACCACATATTCTCTATGAAGCTCGACCTTTGTTATAGGTCCGACATTTCCTGTCCCCTTGACCAGTTCATGGAGTTTGGTTGATTAAAGAAAGTTTCAAGTGTTCTGGTAGCTTAAGGCCCCTATTAGAACTTCCTTCACCCTCGAAGTCCCGGTTTACTGGAATGAATACAGACCATCAAAGACACTAAAGACTTAATGGTGTCCTCCGGCTAACTGTTTGACCTCAATTCTCAGGCCTCTCTTAGGGTCTGTAGCAGATAAATCATTAATTCTAACACAGGCTTCACTCGTCTTGTATCTGAGGCACATCTCCCTTATGGCTAATCAATACGGGTTCTTAGCAATTAAGGAGGAAGCTAGAGACTCCAGGGCCTCCCTTCGCTGCACTGGAAAGCAGCGATGTCAAGAGGTCATAAAACCCAACCTTTTGATTACACATCAAAAGTGGAAGAAAAGACTTACTTGAGCTTTAATTTATCTATTACTAAGTAGTTGGGACATTGTTCAGAATTTATCACAAAACTCTCTACTATATAAAGAGTATGAGCTTTCATATTATACCACAACAGAAATATAACATAAGTGTGACATTAAAATAAATTATAATCAAAAATAAACATTCTGTTGAATGACCTTTACAATTTTTGGTGATTCTTGGGCTGTATATTAAATTTATAATCGTGATTGATTATAGTTTTGATACGATATTCTTTTGTTGTACTTACCTAATTAGCATTCAAGATTCAAAACTTTATCGTCATAAGCTCGCACAGTAACTACAGTGTTGCATATGGCCAATGAAAAACTTGAAGTCCCAGCCTCCTCCAACAATACATACATAATATCATATATAAAACAAATAAAACCAATAAAAGTATGTCAAGAATGACCTGATACCTTCTACTTTTTTCTACTTGTATCCAACTGCAGTACTTTAACTTGAAATTATTTACAGTGGTGAATAACTTAACTAAAGAATCCAAAATGTTTTTTCCATCACTGGCACGTAGTTAGGAACGTATAGTAAATATGTATAATGTTCGTGACTGAGACCGTTCAACTCCATTCCAATTCATAAGTTTCTTTTGGGCTACTATAAATACAATTTGATTGATTCGATTTTGACCTACTGGCTAATGAAGTTATTTACTTCTGATACCTTCTACTTGTTTTAATTTCAATGCAGCTACTTTTTCCTTATGTGATTGAGTATGTTTAGAATGACTAGATGTACTTAAAGGCTCCCATCATATGGCTTTTCTGGTTATCACCCGTCCGCCTTGGTGGGTGTTATGTAGCTTTTTCTGCATGTAAACGGTCTGCAAAGTCACAAACCCTCCCAAAATACACGCCGGTTGCTAAGCAAACGCCATTGTAAACATAAATCACTGATGTTCCCTGTAACGGTGGTTGACTCATCAGACAGCACGAGTGGGCGAGCTGACAACTGCAGAGCAACATTCTCATAGGGAGGTGGAGGGAGCCCAACAAAAGGCGTGTAGGACAGTGGACATGGCTATAACAAGAGATGCTGTATGTAGAAAACCCAAATGTGAGGTTTGGAAAGCATTGAACAATGTAAATCTACTTCTATAGGCACCTCAATGACTGGAATTATGATCAGTGGAAATGGCGCATCGTCATGGGACGCGCTTTACAAATACACTGCAAATGTACTTTTACATCCACTGGCAGCTTAGTTTGAATACAAAATATGTATATGTTCGTGACTGTAGACTGAAATCCCCCTAAAGGAGGAGCTGCCAGAGTATGGGATCTCAAGTGGGGCCTCAGGCTGTGTTGTGTGTGTGTGTGTGGTGTGGTGTGTGTGTGTGTGTGTGTGTGTGTGTGTGTGTGTGTGTGTGTGTGTGTGGTGTGTTGTGTGTGTGTGTGTGTGTGTGTGTGTGTGCTGTGTGTGTGTGTGTGTGTGTGTGTGTGTGTGTGTGTGTGGTGTGTGTGTGTGTGTGTGTTTGAAACAGCAGCTGTCGGACAGTACCACAGTCCCAGCTGACATGAGGACTGCGTCACATGCCATTAAACGTGCATTCGGGGATAAAGACGGGTGGGATTGGAGGGGAATGAGGCAGAGGATGGGAGAGGGGCGCAATGCAGGAGTGGAGACAGAGGAGGGAAAGAGAGACAGAGGAGGGAAAGAGAGACAGAGGAAAGAGAGACAGAGGAGGAAAGGAAGGCATGTTTTTGCACACCGTGACAGAACAGAAAGCCTTCTTCGAAAGGTGTCTGCCAATGGGAGCCTTTCTGCGCTTCAGAGGCGGCAGACAGTGACTGTTGTTGAGTCACTAATTTAAGAAAAGGTGTTTGGTGTGTAGGATTTGCGCAGTGGGAAAAACAAAGCTTTCCCTCAGAGCACTCTCACATCTGAGACACTTTAGTTTCTACCCTACACCTGCTCAGCTTCTGTGGTACAGAGGCACAGTTCATTGAAAATATAGATTGCAAGAAACACAGTATTTTTTTTAAAGAGGACACATATTGCTCTCTGGGGGAGTGTGTGGGAGAGAAAGTCCCTCTGGGGGGATCACAGGGATTTGAGGTTTTACAGACCATTTAGACCAGGGATGTCAAACTCAAATACACAGTGGGCCAAAATCAAATAAATGGGTACTAGTGGAGGGCCGGACTGGTTCAATGTTTATTGCAGAACTTATTGAAATGAACTTATTGCACATATTAAACCTGGAACTAACAAAGCTTAAATGATTGCCTATAAAAACAACATTAAACATTAAATAATCAGTTCATTCATTTCTTATGGCTCTATCTGCAGCTTTTCCAGAGTCATTTCTTATGATTACATTTCTCCACAGGCCAACAACAGCTTCAACAAAACTATTTCCCTCAAAGAACAAACCAAACATGCCCTGTTGTCGTGAGAGAAAAAGTCCAGAAGGAAACATCCATTGAACTCAGTGTGCTGCTCTGTGATGCTAGTTCAGAGACTTGGCATCTCATCTTGGGTGCAAGGTCATCAATGTTTGGGCTCAGGCTCTGAGCTGAGGAGACCCTCAGGATGGAGTGAAGGTGCAATATACCGGCGGGCCAGATCTAATAGGAATTAGAAATTATCCTGCGGGACGAAATTAAATCCACCACGGGCCGGATTTGGCCCCCGGGCCTTGAGTTTGACACATGTGGGTTAGATGCACAAAAACCTATATGACACACTACAGGAAAGAGAAACTCCCAAAAGCATAATGAGGCCTCTTTGAATATGTGTTAAAAGTCAAATTTGAATGAAGTATTGTTCAGCTGCTGAGATGTCTTGGTATACAAATCGTATACAGACTTAACAAAAACACATTTGTTCGATACAGATCCTCTTAAGAAAGTTACACCATGATATTGCACTATATTTTTCAATGAGAATAATAATGCAACAATGAATCACATCACAATTACGATATTAGTTGGAAAAATCGGAATTCATAATTGTTTGACTGAAGTACAATCTCCCCATTGAGTTTGTCCCTCTCTTTTTGTCTCCCTCAGATCTGCTTTGTGAATCTGGACCCTCAGAAAACAGACTATCGCGACGACAAAAGCATCAAGGTGAGCCTAATCTTCATCCCTTTTTTTTCCCGCCTACTTTTAATCTCCCAGGAAATCTGTATTTCACATTATAATCATCGGCTCAGTTGCCATGGAGTCAAGATCATTACCCAGAATTAGAGGGCTGATTGGTTTGGATGATGTGCAGCGTTTGCAGCTGGCGGTTGGCAGCATGGCACATGGCTGAAGACTTCTCCCAGAAATAATTTTATAATTATGTGTTGGAAGCACACAGCATGCATTATGTTCAGTTTTGAAAAAGCTTTTTCTTTTGATCATCTCACACTGTCAATGTGCTCCGACAGAAACTGGCATCGGTGTCTCCAGACCTGCCAAAGATGGTGGAATTGCTGACTGTCCACCAGCCCAAAGAAAATGAGATCCTACTTCTGGGTGGGCTGGAGGCCTCAGAAACCTGCCAAACAATCCCCCTCTCCCCCTCTAAGGTGAGTCTTTGAGTCCTTACAAGTATATCCAGCCTTTAAATAGCTGGAAGGCGGTGCAAAGCAGAAAGTGCAAGCCCTTGCTTTGTGCCGCAATTGTGTGGCGCAGTGGGTTGTGCGTTGGTGTTCGGATCAGGGGGTCACAGGTTCAAACCCCACTGCAGTCAGCATGTCGTTGTGTCCCTGAGACACTTCACCCCAAATTGCTCCTGTAGGGATTGCCCACAGTATTGAGTATGTACCAGTGAGTAGTATGTCGCTTTGAATAAAAGCGTCTAACAAGTGACATGTAATGTAATGTCATGTGTGATTAGGTTTCATCCTTTGGTGCCAGGAAGAAATCCACTGGAGCCACTTCATTCATTTAATCTAGCTATTCTAACCCATTCACTCCAATACAAACATCTCACCCTCTGTAGCATAGCAAGAGTGGCCTACTTTTTATGAAAAACATGTACAATTTCACACTACTTTGAGGATTTAAACAAGTATAGAAAAACAAACTATAGCAGCTAAATAATATCCCTTTCTGTTTTGATCTGTATTAATCCCTAAATCCAATATTCCCTTGCAACCACTGAACATTCACAGACTTTTTATCCACCAAATAAATCATTGTATAAAAACACTGTTAGAATCAATACACAGCCTGAGGAGACAATTAAACTTGCATGAGCATATCTAATGAATTAGTAGTACGCGGAAGAAATGAACAAAAACAGACATTAAAGCTTCATAAACTCACTGAGCAGGTCTAAGATGTTTATGATACCATATCTCATATTGTGTGACTGTATGTGTTGTCTAATGTGTGCTTTCATCATTGGTTTGTATCTCTCTGAGCATGTATTAACATTAATGTGGCTATTCCTGGGGTTTCATTTAATTACATTTTGATCATTTTTAAACATTTTGAAGCCATATGAGGTAAGGTGAGAGTGTCCGGCAAACATTTTCCAAAAGCACGCACGGAGATGCTGTTTGGTTCCACCTGAAAACAAGAAACTAAATCATTCCAAAATCCAAATATCAGCTTTGTGAACCGGTATTCAAATGTCAAAAGTAAGGTGTCAAGAATATGATGTCAAAAATAACCCAAATGATGCGGCCCGATACCATTCATTAACTAAAAGTTGCCCATTATCAAAACATTATAACATACTGTAAATCAGGGGTGTCAAACTCAATTTCAACAATAAAAACGTTCTATGGACGCAATTTCCTGAATTAATCTTCGTAATAACTAGCATCCATAGAACGTTTTTATTGTTGAAATTGAGTTTGACACCCCTGATTTACAGTATGTTATAATGNAAAGTTACAACCGGCCTTTTGAGTGCAACCTTCATGCTGATGTGGCCCGTGATGAAATTGAGTTTGACACCCCTGATTTACAGTATGTTATAATGTTTTGATAATGGGCAACTTTTAGTTAATGA